CAATCAGGCTCCTACCCTACTGGAACTCGTCCATCAGAGCTTACCTTCCATTTCTTCCTTTTGACAGAAGGTTTCCGTTCCTGGTCAGGCTAACCTTGCATCTGAAAGTCTACACTGCCTCAGCACCCCATTGAAACCAAGTCCTCGCAGATGGCTGCTCTGCCAGCCAGGCTCCCTGGTAAGGGATGTCAGGCTTTCTGGGTTCAGCACCACTGCCACTCCAGAGTTTCAAGACTCACTATGCCTGGCTCATTTTTTATATACAGAAGTCCATATACGAGATTATGGTAGAGAACAAAAACATCTGAAGAAGCGTGATGGAGGCATGCATGCGGTGCAGACTATACATGCAGGAAAACACCCACCGGTGCATGTAAGATAAATTTATAGTAATAAGAAGCACACTCACAGACACACATCATACAGACACACAAAAAAATATAGAGATTAAAAAAAAAACTGGAGGGACTGAGCGATGGCTCAACAGTTAAGAGCACTGGCTGCTCTTGGAAAGGACCTGGGTTTGGTTCCCAGCACACCCATGGCGGCTCACAACTGTCCCTAATTCAAGTTCCAGGGAATCTGACACACTCTTCTACACTACATGGGCACCAGACATGCAAAATATTCATACACATAAAATAATATTAAACGATATTTTAAAAAAACTGGATTTCAGTTGCATCCCACGAAAAGCTTCCAGAGAGGAGAGCTATGTCCTGATCTCACTGGAACTGACCTGTGTCCTCAGAGTGTGCTGTGTCTCCATGGAAACTGAAAATGTCAGGAAGGAATATCTCCAATGGTAGTCACCACATTCACACAGCTGAATCTTACATCTATCTTGTAAGGTCTCCTGTAGCTTTGGCTGTCTACAAACTTCCTAAGTAACGGAGGATAACCTTGAACTACCAATCCTCCAGCCTCCACCTCCCAGGTGCAAACCCAGGGCTTTGAGCATGCTAGGTGAGCACTCTACCCACTCGGCTACACTACCCCCTTTAAATCTTGACTGAAAGCATAGATGGGGCCTGGCTAAAGCTCAGACTCCACTGTATACACTAAAACCCAGTCTGGGTCACTTGAGGTGGTTCACACATGTAACCCCAGTGCTCGGGAGGCTGAAGCCAGAGAGAATTTGAAGCAAGCCATCTGAAGGAACCAGTTCTCTGTGAGCTTGGAGGCCTATGCCTAAGGGTGGGGAGAACCCTGGGCACTCAAGGGCTTCTGCCCCCTCAGCAGTTTCTCAGCACCGGTCCACATCGTTTTTTGAAAAAGATTTATGGGAGCTCAGATGTTAAGAGCACTGGCTGCTCTTCCAGAGGAGCTGAGTTCAATTCCCAGCAACCACATGGTGGCTCACAACCATCCTTAATGAGATCTCATGTCCTCTTCTGGCCTGCAGGCAGAACACTGTATAAACAATAAATAAAGAAATCTTTAAAAAAGAAGGAAAGCTTGAAAAAGATTTGTTTGCTTTTAATTATTTGCTTCTCTGTGGGCGTGCATGCACGCAGGCGTGGGAGGATCAGAAGAGGGCTCCTCCAGCACCGAAGTTGCAGGCCCCTGTGCCAGCAAGCTCTGGCTGGACAGCTCAGTCATCTCTTCAGCCCCAGTTTTCAATATTTGCTTGTTTGTTTACTTATTTGTTTGTTGGTTGGTTTTTCGAGACAGGCTTTACCAGTAGCTATGGAGCCAGTCCTGGAACTCACTCTGTAGACCAGGCTGGCCTTGAACTCACAGAGGTCCACTTGCCTCTGCCTCCTGCCTCTGTTGGGATTAAAGGTGTGCACCACCACTGCCAGGAAGTTTTTAATTTTTTGAGACAGAATTTTACTGTGTGTCCAGGCTGGCATGGAATTCACTATGCAGACCAGACTGTCCTTGACACGGACCCCTGTCTCTCAAGTGTTGGGAAGACAGGTGCCACTAGCTTGACTCTTCTGAAGGAGATTTTTGGAAAGAATGGGCTTCTACGCCTTCTGAAGGTTGGCCTTGGTCCACACCTCCAAGATTTGCCACAGCCCCCGTCAGTCTGCAGTGAGTCCTTCACAAAAGCTTCCAGAAGGTGTGGATGAACTCTGGAAGGTCAAAGGCCGCAGCTCACGAGCTCTTGGTGAAGATAATTGCGCTGATTAGCTGGGGAGGATGTTGAGGGAAGACTCCGACTTCCCTGTGTGGTGTTGCAAGAGTTCTGGAAGCTCAAAGAACAAACACTCCAAACCTACCTCTGGCCTCCTCCTGAGTGAGAGGGTCATCCTGTCTGAGTTGGTCACCTCATACTGCCTGGCAGCACCAGAAAGAAAACTGAGCCAGGGCTGTGCTGCAGCAGCCATATCTGGACACTACCCCCACCCAGCAGCTTGAAGTGTTTGTCACGAGACTCAGTCCAGAAGTCCCCACACTCCTGCCGCCCTGCACTTCACTTTTTCAGATGCCCAGGCAGCAAACTATGGGGCTGGGAAGGACCTACCTTACTCAGAGTCCTGGTGGGGGGTGAAGGGAGTTTCTCTGACCTTCCCTGTTCATTTGGGGACATGGACCAGACCAGGGTAGAATCACAGAGCCTTCTCAGGTCAACAGGGCAAAGAAAGAAACAAAAAAACATGGCACCTTCAGGAGTGAGCTCCCCAACGGGCAGCGGCAGCGGATAAGCAGCCCAGCAGCCTACCCCACGTCAAGCATCCTTGTTGCCCTTTGTCTAGGTTCCTTCCTTTCCCTTGCTCCCCTTCGGGTTAGGAGACCTGAAATCCCTGCAGCTGGGTATGGCTCCAGACAACAGGGTGGGCACTGGGTTGATGGGTGACCTATTCCTCTGGGCTGGTCTGCTAGCCTTGTGAATCGGACCGTGCTGATTCAGAGACGAGACAAGGAGAAATGGCTCCCTAGTTTTCGGCGAGAGTTGGTATGTGTGCAAGTGTGTATATGTGACTGTGGAGTCCGCGGTTGAAGTTGGGTGTCTTCCTCAACCACTCTTCACCTTATTATTACTGTGTAGCCTGGCTGCCTCCCAATATTGTAATTAAAAGTTAAAGGCGTACACCACCATGCCAGACTATCCACCTTCGTTTTTGAAGCAGAATCACTCAGAATTTTTCTGGATTTTTCTGATTCAGTTAGACTGGCCTACCGGCCAATGAGCCCCAGGTGTGCGTTTGTCCTTGCCACCCCAGCACTGAGATGACGACTGTGTACTATCACACCTGCATCCAACTGAAATTTTCTTACAAGCTGGGCCGTGGTGGCACACACCTTTAATCCCAGCACTTGGGAAGCAGAGGCAGGTGGATCTCTTTGAGTTCGAGACCAGCCTGGTTGACAGAAGAGTGAGTTCTAGGATGGCCTGGGCTATACAGAGAAACCTAGTTTCAAAAAAAAAAAAAATTGCATTTAAAAAAAAAGTCAGGTGGTGGTGGCACACACCTTTAGTCCAGCATACCGCAGGCAGAGGGAGGCGGATCTGTGAGTTTGAGGCCAGCCTGGTTGACAGGCACCAAAGCTACAGAGAAACCTTGTCTCAAAAATACACACACACACACACACACACACACACACACAAAAACCCGAAAACAAAACAAAACTTTCTTACTCTGGGGGCTGGAGAGATGGCTCAGAGGTTAAGAGCACTGGCTGCTCTTCCAAAGGTCCTGAGTTCAATTCCCAGCAGCCACATGGTGGCTCACAACCATCTATAATGAGGTCTGGTGCCCTCTTCTGGCCTACAGGCATACACACAGACAGAACATTGTATACATAATAAAATAAATAAATTAAAAAAAAATAAGCAAACAAAACTCTCTTCCTCTGAACCCCAGGATTACAGTTATTCCTGCATTGCCTTGCCTACTGTTGGGGTTGAAAGTCAGAGCTTCCTGAGTACCACACGCCTGCGCCTGTCACTAAGCCAGCCGTGTGTTCCATTTTTTTAAAATATTTTTATTTATTTATTTATGTATTTATTTATTATGTATACAATATTCTGTCTTTATGTCTGCAGGCCAGAAGAGGGCACCAAACCCCATTACAGATGGTTGTGAGCCACCATGTGGTTGCTGGGAATTGAACTCAGGACCTTTGGAAGAGCAGGCAATGCTCTTAACCTCTGAGCCATCTCTCCAGCCCCTTGTGTTCCATTTTCACAGTAGCTGTCCTGCGCCTGTCACTAAGCCAGCCTTGTGTTCCATTTTCACAGTAGCTGTCCTAGCCAGTGTGAGGTGACAGCTCTGTCATAAAACAAACGGGACAGCCATTAGCCAGGCCCCAGGCCGGAGGCAAATCATGGCAGGCAGCCACCAGACCCTGAGGGCCTCTAGCATGCCCTTGCAGTCCCAGGCTGACCCTCCCAGAGAACGGTGACTCCTAGGCAGCTACTGAGAAGATCGCATGTGTACTCCTAATAAAAGAGAATAAAACAACCAAGAAGTGCAATCAAGAGAAAGGGCAGGGCTGGAGAGGTGGCTCAGTCGATAAGTGTGGTCCTCGCTTTCAAGAAGACGCCTTTCAGGCCCCAGAAACCATTCTTTGTCCCACGATGACCTGTAGCTCCACCTCCAGTTACTCTGTGAGGCGCCCTCTTCAGGTCTCCACAGGGACCCGCACTCATGTGCAGTACCTATGACAGAAAAAAAAAACCACCTACACGTAATCTAATGTATGATTGTTTTCTCTTGGAACTGGAGTTACAGATGGGTTTGAACCATCATGTGGGTGCTGAGAACTGAACCTGGGTCTTCTGCAAGAGCAACCAGGGCTCTCCGCTGCTGAGCCATCTCTTCCAGCCCCTCAAATCAGTTCTGAATGAAGCTCTGCCTTTGCTGCTGGATATTGTCACATTCTTTGTCTCTGCCCCTTCCTTTCTGGATTTTTCCTAGCTATTTACTGTTTATTTTCCCAGCATAAATTTTAGGATCAGTTTGTCTGGTGCCAGCCTTGCCTTCTTCCACTGCCCCCTCTTCAGTGGCACGTGATAAGGACTCCAAAACATGTTCTTTATTTTCCAGATGACAGGAGATATGGAAAGCCCAAGACGCCACGAGAAGCCCAACCAGGTAGGCACTGCTCTCCCACTGTGCTGGTTAAAGGGAGCGCCTCCCCAGGGCTCCATGGTCTCCTGTTCCCTTTTGTTCTTTGAGACAAAGTCCTTCTACAGAGCCCTGGCTGGCCTCGAACTAGCTTTGTAAACCAGGCTGACTCAGACTCAAAGATCTGCCTGCTCTGTCTCTGCTGTGATGAAAGGCGTGAGCCACCACCACCTGGCTCTATATGCAATGTGATGTTCTCATTTTAGTGCTCAGGAGAGAGCACCAGGCTCCAGCGCCCTTTACACACGGTACTCAGTTCTGTGTATCTGTGCATGAACATATGTGTGTGTGTGTGTGTGTGAGAGAGAGAGAGAGAGAGAGACAGAGACAGAGACAGAGAGAAAGAGAGTGCTGAAAAGGCCACAGCCTCCAACACTGATCCTCTGTTCTCTGCCTCAGCCCTGAGCTTTAGAACGGGCCATTTATTCAACTGCTGTAGAAACAACAGAGCGGCCGGCCGTGCAGAGAGGTGGAGGGACCTTCCTTGACCCAGCCCAGCTCTGCACTGCTCCCTGCACCCCAAGGGGACCATTGACCTTTATCTGCCTTGCTGCAGAGAAAGGAAATGCACCTGAAAGAATCCAACCCTGTACATCGAATTCAGCCTTTCTTCTGATTTTTTTAAAGGATTTCTTTTATTCTGTATGTCTGAGTGTGTGTCACCATGCCCAGCTCTGAAATTCAACTTTCATTGATTAAGTCAATTTATTGAATCCAAAAGTTTAAGAATCCCACAACTGGCTGGGTAGTAGTGGCGGACGCCTTTAATCCAAGCACTTTGAGAAGCAGAAGCTGGTAGATCTCTGTAAGTTCGAGGCCAGCCTGGTTTTCTTTCTTTTTGTTTTTGCTTCAGCAGTTTTTATTGACTTCATTTTTAATTCATGGAATCAGAACATCATTTGGTTTTGTTATTGACAAGAATTCAGTGTACAGTACAGTAAGAAGAGCAAACCAACCGCTAATACTCTGCCTTCATCCTCTGTGGGAGATGTAAAAGATGGTTTGCTGGTGGGCCATTCTGTCCTTAGAACCGTGACAGCATCGGACAGTGACAAAGCTTGAACTTGTGGGAGGAAAGGCCAGTTGGGTTCCCTGACAGACTGGCAGATGAGGAATGCTTCCTAATTAAATTTACTGCTCTTTCTGCTATTCACTGCGAGGCTGGAGGAGCCATGTGCAGAAACTTCTTAAGTCCACATTCCCGAGCGGGCCTTTGGCTCTCTGTGCCCAACCAAGGCCCTGCCTACCTTAGCCTGGTTTTCATAGGGAGTTCCAGGCCAGCAAGAGGTATATAATGAGACTCTATCTCAAAAAAACAAAAGAACCCAAAAAAACCAAACAAGCAAAAAGCCCAAACAAATAAACAAAATGTTAGATTTCCCTAACAGTCCAGAAAGTTGCTGAACTGTCCTCAGAACACAGAAGGAGGGACTCGCTGGAATAGTCCAAAGAAGGAAGCTTGTCACAGTTAGGGTGATGGGTGTCAGAGAACAAGTCTTGGTCAGTAAAGTACTTGCCGTGTAAACATGAGGACCTGAGTTCAATCCCCAGAAAGGATGTAAAAGTTGGGTACCACAGCACGTATTTGTAATCCCAGCTCTGAGGAGGTAAACAAAGTCTGAGACCTCGGGCTTGCTGGCCAGTCAGCCAAGCCTCATCAGTGAGCTTCGGGTCCCAGGGAAGAGTTTCTGTTGCAAAAGACAAGGTGAACAGCTCCTGTGGATCAGTACCCAAGGTTGGCATCTGGTGTGTGTGTATATGTAT